GCCCCCCCCCCCTAAAAGCTTTTGTCAATTTTGTGAGTGTCATAAGGAAGGACTTCTCTGAGTAACGATGAGCGACCACCCCAACAGACACTATAAAGAAGAGACCTAACCCTAACCCTAGGCCTACCCCAAAAAAGAACCTGCAACGGGCCTCATGTAAAAAGGCCAGCACAAGTCCAAAATGAAAAAAAAAAAAAAATTAAAAAAATTAAAAGCCACACTCCAAAACAAACAAGGAGCATATTTTTAATATGGCCTACATCTAGATCTACATTGCTATAAGGTTTGATACAGTAACACAATAGAATAGGAATATGAATCCTCCATTAGATCTAGTAATCTAAATAAATCTAGATCTAGATATTGTAGAACAAGTGAATAGGAATAGGCCTTGAACTAGAAATCCGAACAGAGGGATTCAGCCGAGTCTAGATCTAGATTTTAAATAAATAAATAATTCACGCACCTGATGAAATGCTTTTTACCAACATTAATATTACAGCATAACTTATGATAGGGTTTGACACAATAGAATTGGAATATGAATCCTCCATTGAGGTCATCTATAAATCTAGATCTAGATCTAGATTCTATTAGAATGTAAGAGAGTCGGACTTGAATGAATCCACACGATCTGAACAATTGAATTAGTCAACAAACGAAATTCAAAATGGCCGCTCGAGCACGAAACTGAAAGTAGCTAATTTAGGTCGTCGTCCTTTTTCGTATTCACATTTCTACTCAGGTTCCGACAATTATGTCAGAAACGCCGACGTCGGCAGTCGGCCCGAAAACGAAAGTGCCGACAAAGCCGACAGGAGAAAAAAGGGGCGCGGGAAGTCGGCCAGGTCTCGCACTACGCACATTGACTGATGATACAGGTAGGCCTAGCGATAGCATCGGCCGGCGCGCGGGTCGGGTCGCGATTGTCGGATTTCAGACGATTGTCGGCAAACATGCAGGTCTAAGAGTATCTTATACATTCAACCAGCATGATGAATTGGTCATAACTTTTGCTCATGGAATTTCCAACAGGTTAACATAAATTTATTTGGGTATTAATACAACTTTGGTCAAGATGAACTTGGAGGAGGAATTTGGACCAGGAGGACAATAAGCAAATTCAACAGCAAAACTGAAATCCTCCCAGGGTGGAGACAGTTCATCCCAACAGAAAGATGGCGATACTCAAAGAAAACAGCTTCCCCGCATGAATTCTGAACTCATGTCTTTTGTGCGGAAAGCAGAGAGCCCACTCATTACACTACAAATACCACCAGTATTATCCAATTCAAGGTTTCAGAAATGCTAAATGAGAAACTTTGAATTATGAAAGGAGGAAAGGGCAGAAAGGGAAAACATGCACAAAATCCCTAACATTCTTGACTGGGCTACTTCAGCTGTGAATGACCTTCAAACTGATTCCACAAATTCACTAAAAGTAAAAGACAAAATCATCAACCATTTAAGTCTCATTATTTAAGTGCAAAAATCATGCGGTTTCAGAAGCTTATGACAATATCAAAGGCAAAACTGTTTATGGTTTGATTTTGCTCCCCACATTTCTACTTTTCATATAAGAGAAAATCTGAAAACTTTTTTAAATTCCACATCTCAACTTTTATCCTCTTTGCAAAGTGAAGCTATCTTTAACAATAAAACAAAAGCAGACCACCAAAAAAAAATGCCCAAACTTTTTTTTACATGAACACCAAGTATTGCATCCAAGCACAAAACAGTAGTAAGTGAAAAGCATAAATTCTCAAATCATTAAAAGAAATGTGGAAAAAATAAGTAGGCCTCCATGTATTTCATAAAAAGTATTGAACTTTTCATCAAAATGCATTAACACTACAATTAAAATTGGACATTAGTTGATACTCCAACAGTGAACTATAACATAGGCTCAGGAGATTTTGTTTACATGTAAAGGAATAAAAACGTGCAACTCCAGCACAAATTGATGGCTGAGTGTAAGACTCTGACAATTGCAGAATCGCAAAATAGCATTTGTCGGAGTCTTGAATCTATCCATCAAAATATACTTCAGTACAATAAATACAGACTTGCTAAAAGCTGTCCCTTTTCCGACTTCTTGACAACTGCTCTAAAAAAAGAAACAGTGAACAAGAATTGCATATTATTCCCCCTTCCCTACTCTTAAGGTCAACGGAACAACAAAATAGGTGCATAACAGACCACAAGACCTTATGGGTAATACAGCACCACGGGAATCTCAGTTGTTGCCACATAATTTTTCAAAGTATAATCTTGTTCATGGAATGTGGACATGCTTAAAAGACTTAACTTTGCGTGTTCCATTTTGACTTTCATTTATTTTTCAAACTCGTAAATTTACATTTGTAGACACCTAAACCACCTATATTTTGGCAAAAAAATACCACTGGAAATTTTATATTTTCTTTTCAATACTGTCAGGTTATTTAAGACTGAGAGGCTGGAACCTCTGAATTCAACAATCATCTCTAATAGGGTCGAACCATGTGAGCTGTCTAAACTACCCAAGTCCAAGAGCACCCTTTATAAGACTTGAACCAAGGCCACCCATATTATAGCCCAGAACAATTAACTAAAATGACGGCCATCCGTAAATTTCTGTGGTCATGGCATAATAGCAGCACGAAACCGGTATCCGTTAGGTAAAAGTCATGGCAGGCACAACAAGCCAATACATGAAAAGCAAATGTACAGTAAAAAATATTTAACTATGTGTTTGTAATAAATCACATCAGATACATTCATAGCATATCTTACATCCCTGAAAAAAATTTTGATCAGACATTAAATGATTTGGTTAAAATATAAAATACTTTCATGTCTTATTTTTGTAAAGAAAAAAAGAGTAATGACTTGGTCCAAGTACAAAACACTCCCATAATATTATGTATAGAAATAAGCCCACAATGCCACCGTGCAAAATTACAGTTTATGGGTCAAAAAAAAGACTTTGACATATATGTACTTATTTTTATTATTTATCAAAAATTTTCTTTTAGGGCATATATATTTCATTTTAAAAAAAAAAAAGAAAAAAAAACACCACCCGAGGCTCAACATTGAAAACATGTTGATGAAAGACATGAGTAAAATGCAAAATTGGCTAATGCACTTATCGCAATCATCATTTCTACATGATGATCGGGTTCACAAGATGGGGGGAGGAAAAAAATCCACAATTTTATACAACCATTTTTCTATTAAGGTTCTGCACAACACCGGGGGGCATCTGGATTGAGCCGTTGGTGACCCCGTAGGTCGCTGGGCCCGCAGTCCCAGAGTGACCGTGGACGCTGAGTATTCCAGAGCTGGCAGACCGAGCAGACATTGAGCCATACATGGTGCCATTCACAGGTGTGCCTCGGGGCGTGGTCCTGGCTGTCCTAGTCCGAGTAATCTCCCCATTGTTTGATCTCGACAATGTGCCATCAGAGCTAGGGACAGTGAGGTCAACTTTCTTTGAGTCGGAGTTATGCAGCTTTTTTTTACACAAATGTATGTAAATACTAGGCCAACAGAACAAAAAATGTTAATGTGTACATATTTTAGTTGAATGTGAAACTTGAAACACAAAAAAATAACCAAACTGAACAGCTATATGCTTGAACCTAGGCAGAACGTTTATTTTATTTACTGAGATGACATACATTATTTACTGAGAAAACATATTAATTACTGAAAAGACAAACAGAACGAGGAAATTGAAACTTCAAAAGAGAAAATGAAATTTTAATAATATGTTGCCACTTGATATCCCCAACAGCATCTGTGTATTCTCAAAATTATATCCTACTGTTTCCCAAACAATGGAGCTTTATTTAACCATGTAACAGAATATCTTCTTTTCACCAACCATGTACCAGGAGAGAAAAGCAAAGAAAAAAGCTTGTCTACTGGAGTATTTATTTTTTTAAAGGAAAACACATTTGTGTGATTTCAGTTTACAGCATTACCTATTCTTCAATGTAATAACACTATGGGCTTTTGCATTTGAAGACAATAATTGAAGAGAAGAAGGAGAGCAGAACCATGGTAACTCTTTTTTTTAAAAAGATTTTATCTTTCCCAGCTGTCGGGACATGCTTGCTACTTACTGTGAGTTGGAGCCTGTCTGCGAGGACAAATCATCTTCGCTGTCATAACGGCGGGGATTGTCAAAGAAAAACACTCTGGAGCCCTGACTCTGAGTGGAGAAGTCAGTCAAAACCTACAAAGCAAACAGGGAACAGTTTCAGATCAGGATAACTAAGGACAAATAAATCATCATTTCATGTCTTATAGCAACTCTTTCCCAGCTGTCGGGACACGCTTGCTACTTACTGTGAGTTGGAACCTGTCTGCGAGCACAAATCATCTTCGCGAGGGAAAACTTTAATCTTTTGTACAAATATTACTTACAATTTTACATTAAAAACATCTAATAAAATGTACAAAAGAGGACCACTGGCGCAGAGATTCCAGTGGGTCTGAGCTTCACTTTTAAAGTATGATACAATTAACAGTTGTTACACACACATAGATAGTTGAACCTAGCACACAACTGCAATTTTGTGGAAACCTCAAAGCATCTTCTAAGGAACAATCAACTAAAAGTGCAAGGGGGAAAAAAAAACCCCAGAAAAATCTACATCACCACCCCCTTTGGTCAGGCTATCAAAATACCACTCACATTATGCTCGACAGCTATCATCTCCCACATGATCTGCTGAAGTCTTCACAAACCAACCTAAAAGACTTAAAGACCCACTGATGTCAATGTGCTACTCCTCATACAGTCTTTGTCTCTTAAATTCCTAAAGACGCATTGTCTTCAATATCCCTTGAATGCTTCAACATTATCACTTCAGCTTTAAGCTAGTTCGTCTCAGAACAAAATGGCTTCTTGAAAAAGGTTCATGGCAAGTAAAAGTAAACTTACTGGTTCAAAGTGGCGTCTTTTGACTCGGAAGAACAGGACCACAATGGATATCGGCAGCACCTCCCACACGAACAGGACAATGCCGAAGGACACATAAGCTAGGCCCCGAGACAGACCAGGAACAGCATCAGCCTAAGGGAGATATTCAGACGAGTTTTTGTGTGTTTTTTTTTGGGGGGGGGATATGTTTTTAGTAAGTGTTTTACCGCACCTGCAAAACAATAAGATCCTAATTATAAGTGCCGAAGATTAGAGGTGTTACAAGAGAGTAACCAACACAAAAAAGAAAGAGAGATAAGAATGAAAGATGTTCGATAGGAAAGAAGGAGCAAACCACACCAGAGTATCTGCCAGCCACCCACAACATTCAGACGTTGTTGTTGAAGTATTTTTGGCCATATAGATGTCACGACTGTCAACACTTAGTGCAAGAAGTAGGACACACAGAGGCAGGCTGACAGTTTGGTTTTATGTAAGTCATACAAACATGATATTGATCATTTAGTGCTGGGGACAGTTGGACAGACAGAGATAGGAAAAAAGAGCATAGAGAGTGTACAGTACAACCTGCAGGTAGGCAATGGGTCTTATTTATAAACTGGGACAGAGAGGGAGCGCAGAAGGAGAGAGAGAGAGAGAGATGGTGAGGGGAAGCAGAAGAGAGATAGAGAAAGATTGATAGATAGAGATAGATTAATAGTTTGAGAGAGAAAGAGAGAGAGAGAGAGAGAGAGAGAGAGA